AAAGAAGGGCAGTCCAGGCAGAGGAAAAAGTAGATGGAAAGGCACAGAGATATAAAAGCACATGGTTTATGTAGGGTGAATGGAAATGGACATTTGTCTCATACAAATTATTTTTATGCAGTTAAACTCATGAAAATATCTTTTTTCATGAATATTTTGAGATGTACACTTCTTATTATCATGAAGCAACCACAAACCCAAATTAAAGTATAGCAACTTCCTGATATTTAATATATATTCAAAGCACTGAGAGAAACTTCTGTCCATTCAGCATTAGGTATTTAATTTTATTAAGAGAATTCTCTAAAAACTTGACAATAACTTAGGCTTGTGTTAATATAAGTACCTGTTGGTAACCTGCACATGGAACTCTATAGACTGGATCTTAGTGTTCAGAGTRGATTAAGTTTTTGATATTAAGTACAGAAAACATTGAAGATTATCTTGAATTTAAATATGTTCATCTTCTGTCCTGCCTCGGCAATATTCTACTKTGGGAAAAGTCCAGACTTCAGGCCTCAGGGCTATGCAGGTATCCTGCGAAATTAAATGAACTTCCTGAAACTTTACTTTCTTCATGGATAAATAAAGAATCAGATAAGTTTTCTTTTGCTTTTTCCTACTAACCTAGGGCCTGCTGTGATCCAGGTATGCTGCTGGCATTGTTGGTATACAAGCGTTCATTGAACCCGATTACCTGACCTCTGGAATCCCTYCCTCAGCCCTGGGCTTCTGCAGTTGGATGTTTTATGGCTCAGAGCAGCTGCTTCCATATTTTAGTTGTGCATCATTCTGTTTGACTAGGAGAAAAATGAATGAGAGGTGATGTTTTCGTGTTCTAAGATGAGCTTCGGAGAGTAATTTTCCTGAGCTTAGAAATTCTAACATATGTAAAATGTTTTTCTTGTTCTTGGCAAAAGGAGAACAAGGGGTTGTTGATTTGGTGACTACACAGATGCAGTATCTGCATCGTTTGTATTTTATTTTATTTTATTTTATTTTAGTGCAGTACTTTGCACATCATAGGAACTCAAATCATGTTTTAGGAAGGAAAATGTTTTATCTTACTTTGCCATTTTGTAATACTTGTGATTGAACGAACTGCCAACTTTATTGGCTTTGGATATTTTACAGTTTTATTTCTTCTTAAGTTTAACTTATTCCTATGATCTACTGAGATATGACTAATGGTTGTAATGTCCTTGCAGATCAATGAGTTAAAACTCTTCATTAAAGTGAATACTTCAGACTATTTTTCACTTTAATTCTTCTCATATGATGAGATTGTAAGACAGTAAAATCAATTTAATAATGATTTAAYAATGCAATGGCCCTTGTTATGTCCTAGTTTCTTATAAAATTAGAATCATGAAAATGTCTATTCTACCCATCTTACAATGTTGCTAAGATTAAATGAGGTAATATATGTGGAAATCACTCAAAATATGTAAAGTGATATGCAAATGTTGTTATGATTATTGTTACTTATTCAAATTAGGGCTTTTCTTTAAAGTGATCTCTTTGGAAGAATATATATTTATTCCAGGAAGAAAAACTGAAGTCTTGTTTTTTGTGCTCTGCCTTTAGATCTCTTTCCATCTCCTTCCAGGACAATTCAGTTCTAAAGCTATTGGGTAGGGCGACACAAGGCAGGTGTCTGTACTTGAGTGAGAAGCATGCCACCATGTTAGTTCAGAGAAAGGCAGGAGGCCCCAAGCAGGATGAGGAAAGTTCCCACGACAGAGAGCAGCCTGGAGCAATAGCAGAGACAGATGTGAATGGGGAGGACATCTATGCATGGAGGAAGTGGCAGGAGAAATATGAATTACAAAGAAAGAGTATGATCCAAGAAATGATAATTTAATGATAATGGAAGCCAGGGATAGTGTGTGTGTGTGTGTGTGTGTGTGTGTGTGTGTGTGTGTGTGTGTGTATTCCTTATCCCAGTCCACTGGGGGTGTGGGCAGAGTGACAAGCCAATAACAATGAACATACCTAGCACTTAGGTTTGGGGTTCTAAGTACCATTCTTCACTGAAAGGAATTAGTGTTCCATGGAGAAATGGCTGAATTTAGGTACAGGGAAAGCTGAGAGATAATCTAATAATAGTAACTGAAGATCATATTAAATATGAGAAATAGGAGCATTCATTCATACAGGTAGCAAATTAAATAGCTGTTCAAGTCACAAATTTCCAATTGTAACTGTGATTTCTTGCTGCCTTTCAGAACTTTACAGGCAGTGTTGTTCATACCAGTGCACAAAAGTCCATTGTTATACTTTCAGAAATATTGTGAGCCAGTTTGAAATATAGCTGTCATTAAATCTTATGTAAATTTATAAGTAAATAAATAAATTATACTAAAGAGAAAGGTAATGCTTACAATTCAGCAAATCTTTATTTTTTGCTACATGTTATTATTGCCTATGCTTTGAGGTTATTTATGCCTATCCTATTCATTCGACCCAAGTACTCRATAAGGATGTGCTACTGTTCTCCCCACCTCCAAGTTCAGAGACATCACATTGGTAGCATGAAGTTGACCATCAGGGGATTATTTGTTTTGTTTTGATTTGTTTTATTTTGAGACAGAGTCTTRCTAAATTGCTCAGGTTGGCCTCGAATTTGTGATCTCCTTTCTCAGCCTCCCGAGTCACTGGGATTACAAGCATGCATCATTGTCCCCAGCACATGGGAGTATTTGTAGAGTGAAAATAGGCAAAAACTACAAATCACAGATGGATTTATTTGTGCATTGAGGGCTGAGGATGTTACTCAGTGGTAGAGTGCCTACCTGGCATTTGTGAGAACCTGAATTTGATCCCAAGTACTGCAAAAAGAAAAAAAAAATGTGTATTGACCTCTGGATTTAAGAAAGTGATTTGAAAATATTAATAATGCAAAAGAAACTTAGAAACATGTTTTGTTCTGTAGCCATTATGTTGTTAAGACACAAAATATTTCCTCCATATTAAAAATCTAATATTCAATATGTTTAATAAGAATTGTGATGCATTCCACTGTCATGTATTTAAAAATAAAAGCAATTAAAAATAAAAATACATAAAAATCTAATATCCAAATTAACAAAGAAGTCAAATGTCACACTGATGAATCTATGAAATTCTGATAAACATCTCTATCTTTCACTTTTACTCATTAACAAAGGGAATCAACATTTAGGCCAGAACTACATTCAGTCAATTGAAGCTATAAACTGATTAGCAAAGATTTTGGCATTTTGTGAGAACTAATTGACTATATAGAATTTACAATAAGGAGGGGCTAGGGTTGTGGCTCAGAGGTAGAGAACTCACCTAGCTCATGGGAGGCTCTGGGTTTGATCCTCAGCACCACATAAAAAATAATTAAATAAACAAAGGTATTGTGTCCAACTACAATTTAAAAAAATAAATATTAAAAAAAAGAATTTRCGATAAAGAGTATTATAGGGCTGGGGATGTGGCTCAAGCGGTAACACGCTCGCCTGGCATGCGTGCAGCCCGGGTTCGATCCTCAGCACCACATACAAACAAAGATGTTGTGTCTGCCGAAATTAAAAAATTCTCTCTCTCTCTATCTCTCTCTCTCTAAAACAAACAAACAAACAAAAAAGAGTATTATATACATATACATTTTAATAGACTTCATTTTTTTAGAGCTATTTTAGGTCACAGCAAAATTAAGAGGGTTTCTATTTACCGCCTGCCCTCAGRTATGAACAGCCTGCCCATTATCAACATCTTTCACCCTAGAGGTACATTTGTTACCATGAACCTACATTGGCACAACATTATCACAGGACACCAAGATTCACTCTTGGTGTTGTACATTCTGTGGATTCTGACGAATGAATATAATGACATGTATTCATTATTACAGTCTGGTATAGAATACTTTCACCGCTCTTTGCTCTGCCTATCCATTTCTCCCTTCCCCCTAACCCCTGTCAATCACTGATCTTTTTACGTTCTTCATAGTTTTGTGTGTTCCAGAAAGTCATATAGTTGAAGCCATACACATTGTATCCTTTTCAGATTGGCTTCTTTTACTCAGTAACATGCATTTAAAGTCTCTATGTCTTCATGACTCAATAGCTTAACTCTTTTCAGTACTAAATTATAGCCCATTGTTTGCATGTATTATAATTACGTCATCCATTCACCTACTGAAGGACATCTTGGTTGCATCTAAGTGTGGGCAATTATGTATAAAGCTGATATAAACACCTGTGTGCAGGTTTTCATATGTACATTTTTTATTATTTGAAAATTGTATGCTATACATCACCTGTATGATTAGAGTTTATAATAAACATATCAAATAGACATTTATACTCTGGTTTCTCAGTTTGTAGATGCCAGCATACCACTGCAAACAGGCCAGGGTAAACATGTTGCCTTTTACTCTGAGTGAAAAGAGATTTTGAGCAGGGGAGTGACTGACATTTTTAAAGGGTCACTTCTATTGTTCTGTTGAGTAGGGACCTTGTGGGAAAAAAAAGCAAGGAGACATAGTAGGAAGTAATTGCCTCCAAGTGAGAGAGTATGGTGGCTTGGGTGAGATCCTCTTGTATGATCTGATCTGGATGGGATCCTTGTGCATGGAACATGTGAGAATGGTCTGTTACATAGCTCCCCTCTTTCCTACTTGAGTTACGAATAAATTGATAAATAAGACAGAATCAGTGATTGCAGGAACAAATATAAATCAGGGCTAGATTGGAGGATATGTAGTTTAGGGTGAGAGTAAAAGTAAGCATGCCAACTCCCTAGCCTGCCATCTGAGCCCTGAAACCAGAGGAGGCATTATACAGAGTGGAGAGGGGAGGAAAAAAACATCTAGGCTCTTTGCTTTTTCTTTTTTCTTATCTCTTTCTTCCCTCTTCCTCTGGACATAAAACATAAGGGTTCTATGGAAATAACCAAATTGTTGGAGATATTTTGTTGTTTCTTAATTGTCCTCTTTTTCTCACTTGAGTTTTCTTTTTTTTTTTTAGGTGATTTTACACCCAGAGTTTCTATCCTCCACCAGCCCCTTGTTACCCATGGATTATGAAGAGTTTGTCCGAGGTTGTCATCTTGGAGTTTTTCCATCATACTATGAACCCTGGGGTTATACTCCAGGTACGTGACATATACAGATTGTAGAATGTTTGGATTTTTTATTACTATTTTATGTGTATGCATATAATATTAAAGTTGATATGTAATTTCTACTAAGGTCTTGATGTTTCAGTTTGTTTTAAAAATGATTTTAATTGGATCTATCTCAGTGGTCAATTTTATGCTTTGTAGATCCTGATTTRAGAAAAAGGACAAAGATTATGTAAGTATAACATGATATGGTTGGTCATACTTTTATGGCTATTTGAATTATTGGTTCATTGCAATCCAAACAAAAAGAAGGTTTTCTATAGATTACTCATCCTCTTCACTAATATGAAGGAGAAATTGCAAGTAGAGTTAATGTGATAAATAATATTCTAGTAATATAGTTCTCTGAACTTATTTAAGAATAATATGTTTTGTAAAATTAAGGGATGCATTCAGTCTGTATTAGGTAACAGTCACATTGTTAAAGAAAAAAGTAGTAAAGAAAAAAGTGCACAGGGAAAAATCTTCACATTCCTTCCTCTCTAAAAAACAAATGAAGAGGGCTGGGGTTAAGGCTTAGCGGTAGAGCGCTCTCGTAACACAAGCATGGCCCTGGGTTCAATCCTCAGCACCACATAAAAAATAAGTAATTAAATAAAATAAAGGTATTGTGTCTGACTACAACTAAAAAATGAATATTAAAAAATGAAGAAACAACAAGCAAAAAAAAAAAAAAGAAGAAGAAGAAGAAATAATATTCAATGGTAGGGATTGTCACCAATGGCATTATCCCATTGAGAAGCTCCTCCCACTCCTGTTTTTTTKTTGTTGTTGTTATTTGTTTTGTTTTGTTTAACAGATGGTGGATTGTCAGATCTGCTATTTGTTTTTCCTTTCTGGTCTCTAATAACAGGATTATTGTTAGCACCAGGTTTGTAAGTCAGTGGTAGAACTTGTGATCAGCATGCACAAGGCCCTGGGTTCAATCCCCAGCATCACAAAAAAAAAAAAAAAAAAAAAATTGAATAAATAATAAAAGGGAAATAAAATTTTGAAAGATACTGCAAAAAATAAATAATGACTTTCTTGTCTCCTATTGGCAATCACAGATATTCTTCCTGATTTAGATACAATTCTTTTAATAATTTTAGAAGATGAAGTTCAGAAAAAATATTTATAATTAAGAGAATAAATGTTGCTTTTTGCATCTCAATGCCATCACTGACGTAAAGCTCCAGTAGCTGAGGGCAGCACAAGCCAAGGTAAAGGGAAGAATAAGCTGATTATGAAAGAGAAGAACTTTTCTAATATTTGCATTCTTATCCCAGAATTTAAACATAGAATTTAAAATCCTGTAGTAACACCTTGTAATTCTTATAACAGAAATGACATGAGAGTTCTGCATCTGTCAATAAGGTCTCTTCTATTGCTTGAGGTTCTACTATGGATAATTTCCTTATAGCTGTAAAATCATTAAAATGTTTTGAAAAATTAGACAAAGGATTACTACTTCTTGAAACATGACGTAAAATTTTTATTTTTCTAACTCCTCTGACTATCTCTCTTATAGTTCTAAAAATTGTTATTGGCACAGCTCCACTTTTGTGAAGTGGTAACTTTATGAAATGTCCACATAATATCTTAGCTTGTTTCTTTAATAGAACATTTAATGAAATATTTTACTGATGAACTTAACACTTTGTTATTGCTTCTGTTATTTCTAATAAGAAATGCAATTTACACCAGGCATAATGGCGCATACCTGTAATCCCAGCGGCTCATGAAGTTGAGGCAGGAGGATCTCAAATTCAAAACTAGCCTCAGCAAAAGCAAGGGGTTATGCAACTCAGTGAGACCCTGTCTCTAAACAAAAGAGAAAATAGGATTGGCAATGTGGTATGGTAGTCGAGTGCCCCTGAGTTCAATCCCCAGTGGTAACCCCACCCCCAAAACAGAAATGCAAGTTACTATTGGAAGTATCACAGATAGAAGAAGAGTAAAAGGCAAATGCGTGAATGAACAAAGAAATATGGGGAAACCATTTGTGTTGGGTGAAGAGAATGTTATATCACTAACAGTTGTCTTTCCACCAGAATGTTATTTTATAGAAACAGGRCAAACTTATAGTTTCCTAGATATAGGAAACTATATCTAATGTTGTCAGATAAAGGCCAGAGATGATGTTATAAAAGATATGTAGATGGGGAAAGGAATTTGTGGAATACTCCAGAGTAAATGAGTCCAGTCTGTCTTTTAAATTAACCAAAAGGATTTGGTCACTGCTCACCTAATCTATAATTAAAGAAACAAGACTTTGGTGGTATAAATTTAGCAATCACATATTAGATAAATCAATCTTATGTGATATTKGGTCTAATTTATTCCAAAATGCATTCATTAAAGTCTGCTCTAATGAATACAAACACTTATTTAATTTTTAACTTATTTTTTCCACATTTTTATTTTTAATTTTTTTAGTTGTTAATGGACCTTTATTTCATTTATTTTTATGTGGTGCTGAGAATAGAACCCAGTGCCTCACAAATTCGAGGCAAGCGCTTTAACACTGAGCTCCAACCCCATCCCTTTTCCACATTTTTATTGGTGCATTGTAGTTGTRCATATTGATAGGATTTGTTGTTACATATTTATACAGGCACACAATAGAACAATATAACTTGGCCAATATCACTCCCTAGCATTTTCCCCTTCCTTTCCTGCTTCCCGCCACTTGGTCCCTTTCCTCTACTGATCTCCCTTTGATTTTTATGAGATCCATCTTCACCTTCGTTTTCCTTTTTCCTCTCTAGCTTTCCCATATGAGAGAAAACATACCACCCTTATGCTTCTGAGTTTCTTATTTCACTTAAAATGATGGTCTCTAGTTCCATCCATTTTCCTATAAATGCCACAATTTCATTCTTTWTGGCTGAATAAAACTCCATTGTGTATATATCCTTTATCCATTTCTCTGTTGATGAACACCTAAGCTGGTTCCAAGGTTTGGWTATTGTGAATTGTGCTACTATAAACATGGATGTGCATATATCACTGTAGTAAGATGCCTTTAATTGTTCAGGGTAAATACCAAGGAATGATATAACTGGGTCATAGGGTGGTTCCATCCCTAGTCTTCTGAGGAGCCTTTATACTGATTTCCATAGTGGTTGTACTAATTTACAGTCCCACCAACAGTGTAAAAGAAGCACTTATTTTATTTAATTTATTCAATGAACAGATATTGAGTTTGCATGGTTACCTGGCAATTTACTATTAGGTGTTATAATGGTATTCAATTTAAAAAAATAAGGATCTGTGAGTTTCCATGGGTATATAAGATTTTTCTCTGGTGAGAAGTTTCAGAATTTTCATCAGGTTTTCAAAGGGATTGGTAATATCTAAGCACTTTTTTCCCCTTCATCATCCCCCCAAATCAGAGAACCCCTTGTGCTCTTTCTAGCCAGGAGGAAATACTTGCACAGCAGGAGATGAAACTGCTGCCTGAACTTCATGGGTAATGGGGAGATCCCTTTGTTATCAATAGTAACTCCATAATGAAATATAGATTCCTTGTTAGAAATTCAGACATTCTGGAAGGCAGTAGAGTGTTAAAGATATAGAAGATAAAATATATTCTGGGAAACAGATTTTGATCAAAAAGTGAGGGAGGACTGAAAGAGATCATGGGTTCACCAAACACTTAAGAAAGTGAAAGGAGTTTGTGCAAAGAAGACTCAATGAAAGGAGAAGCAGATTGTGTTTGAGGCATATTTATTCTATCCCATAAACTTGACAASTCGAGTCAGGAGCTTACAATGGAGCAAACAAGCAAAACCAGGGGCACTTAGAGAGGCAGTGGAGCATACATTCAGAACAAGAACTCTGGAGCTGGATGCCTGGCTTCAAGTCTCAGSTAGACCACATGTCCTGGCTTTGTGAAGGGGGACAAGTTACTTCACCTTCATGGGTTGATGAGATGATTAAATGATTAATAATGCAGGTGAAGAGCTTAGTACCATGCCTGACACAAAGTGAACATTGCTTTTACTAGGCCACCTAGGGCTTTTTCCTCCTCTGCCTGCATATAGAAGGTAGGAGCCAGTTGGAAGTCAATGGATTCCTTTGTTTTCTCCTGGCAGCTGAATGCACCGTGATGGGTATCCCCAGTGTGACCACAAACCTCTCTGGCTTTGGTTGTTTCATGCAGGAGCACGTGGCTGATCCTACTGCTTATGGTGAGGTTTTTCATCCTTAATCTAATCCTGGGAGGACTGACCTCTAACCACATAGAGCKCAGGGTCTTAACGGAACCTAAGTCTAATGTTGTTTTGATAATTAAACTGATGTTTATACTTCTTTCATAATTAAAAACAGATTCAATTATGTGATCCATAAATAAGAATGCTATTATTAGTAACTATATTTCCCCAAAGAGAAACTGCATAAGGACTGCAAAACCTGGACAAACTTTGCCCTTTACCTATTTTTTTTGTTTTGTTTTGTGGTGGTTGTTGCTTTGTCTTAAGTCTGGTTAGGTCCTCTACTTCCTAGAAGTGATATTACAATAACTATAGTCTTAAGAGTACCTATAATGATTGTTATATAGAAAAAATATATTATTATTTTAAAGGTCATTGCAAATTGGAAAAATTCACGTAATTTTTTAAGATAGGAAAATTTGTATATCACCATCTATTTGTTTATGTTGCTTAGCGGAAAGAAAAGTTAGAATGGAATGGATTCTTTGCCTACACTATTCAATTCCCTTGGTACTTACCATGGCACTGCTCTCTTACCTCAGACTAGAGTGTGGTTCTCAGCCGTGGCGGCATGGTGGGAATGCTGGGGAGTCTAAAAGGCACTGATACCCAAGTTCCACTCCAAGATTCTGGTTAGTGAGCATCCCCTGGAAACATAACTAGAGAACCAGACTTTTCTAAGTAAAATTCTCTTCATTGGACGTGTGCTGGTGATGGTTTTAAGCCATTAGAAGGATATTACAGAAGAAAATTAAGCCTTAGAAGAGAAAAGACCAAGTGGAGGCAATAATTGAGTCAGGGAGCATATGATGCATATGGTTTTTGGTAGAACTAAAGAGATAATGGAGAATAAGAGAATAAATGTTTTAAGATTTGTCCTATTTTTACCTGTTCTTTAACTTTTGTGCTCTCCAGGTATCTACATTGTTGACAGGCGATTCTGCTCTCCAGATGATTCTTGCAATCAGCTGACTCAGTTTCTCTATGGATTTTGCAAACAGTCACGGCGCCAAAGAATCATCCAAAGGAACCGGACTGAGAGGCTCTCAGATCTTCTGGATTGGAGATACCTAGGGAGAGTAAGCAAATTTTTTGTTAACACAGAGGACAACTTTAAAAATTCCATTAAAATGATGTGATTCTGCAATCTGTATTTGGGGTAAAAATGGGAGTTCATAACCCACTTGAATCTAATGTATGAAATATGATATGTCAAGAGCTTTGTAATGTTTTGAACAACCAATAAAAAAATGTTGATTCTGGTTATAAATCTGTGAAGTCAGTTCAGTATCATAATTGCTAAAATCTCAGTGATATTTTCATGTACTTTTAAACTTAATGTGAGTTTTCAAATTCCTAAACCCAATTCTTCACATTTGGTTTGAGTCTATCTTAATAGCAAGTCCATCAGGATCTAGCAGTAATCTAACTAGTTATTCTATTGCTGATGCTTAACTGAATGCATTACAAGTATACAGAGACATTTCTTGAAGAAGAGGAAAACATCAAGAATTTCCTCACCTGCAGTAGGGGACTGGAAGTGACATTATTTTTCAAAATGACGAGTACAGGAAAGGCTCCCATTCAGTCATGCAATAGGTTTGTAAGCTCAAATAGTCACATTCTTAGAACTGAATGTTTTAATAATAAATATATGGACTTTGCTAGGCAAGCTGAACTTTCCCAGCCAAATGACAGATGCTGCCATTTGCTAAGCATCTATAGGAAGTAATGCCAGTGCTTCATTACAACTTGGAGGGTGAATTTTGCTATCCTTATTTTTAAATGAAAACAGTAAGACAAGGCTCTTAGAAATTGTTTCTTACCTAAAATTTGAAGCAGGATTTACACCTAGTCTGTCTGACTTACAGCCTCATCTCCTTTCTGTGCTGTGCTGTTTCTCTAGAATGAAACCAGTGTTTTCAGTCACCTTAGTGCTCAATTCAGAACTCAGTGTGGTCTGTTTCCTCCCAACTTTGTATTTCTTTTTTGCCTATGCATTGAAAAATAATAATACTATAACTAATCATTTCTTTCCTAATTCTCAAATTGATTGAATAGTTTCTGCACTTTAAAATATATGTGTGTGTAAACACAAACACATTTATATATATATATATATATATATATATATATATATATATATATATATAATCTGTTATATATGTGTATAAGAAAAAAGTCTTATATAATAATGCAATTATTTAGATATCTATATCTATCTATTGTTTAACACATGAACTGGTTTTCTATCGACAGTATTACCAGCATGCCAGGCACCTGACATTAAGCAGAGCTTTTCCAGATAAATTCCATATGGAGCCTACATCACCACCAGCGGTAAATATATAATGTATTGTTGATTTGTTTTTAAAGATAAATTTTTTTATTTATGATAAGTYCTAACAACATTTTTTAATTTGGGAGTAGCTAAGTAATAAGCTTTATACTTTTTTATGGTGTCAAATCAGAGCAATAAATAGACGAATTCACAAATCATACTACTTCAAAGCCCTCAATTCAGAGTTCAGTGCTGCCTAGGATGAGTAGATAGCTGATTCCTGTCGTTGGAGAAACACCCCCATTTTGTAACTCCCTCCAACTTAATGCTTGAAGTGGCTCTGTTAGGCATCTATTCTTTTAGAAGTTGTTCAAAAATAAATTGGTCTGCTTTAACAGGATTTGTTATCCAAGGGAATGTTTAAATATAGGGTGACCACTTGGCAAGAATAAAATAGAATAAATTCAAGCATCACAGGAGGAATTGGACCAGATAAGCACTTASGTTCCATTCAATAGTGCCCACCAGGGAGTCTTCTTCTAAAGTCCAACACGATGTTTATATTTATGAAACTAACATGGGCCACATTTGCCATCAGATTCACTTAGAAGGGTAGAAGACAGGAAACACAGTTTAAAGCAGGGTGGCATCTGGCATTTTTCTTTAATGAGATTAGTCCTTGCAAGAGTCTAAACAGTGATCAGAGAAGTAAATTTCTTTGGACCCCTATGTGCAAGAAGATAATAACCAAACCATTGGGTATAAGATTCACCTCAGTGGAACCTAGTGGCCTATCTCTGTAGTCCCAGTTACTCAGGAGGCTGATGTGGAAAGATCTCTTGAGTCCACAAGTTTGAACAAATCCAGGCAACATAGGCAGATCCCATCTTAGAAACCAAACAAACAAAGATCCAATTTAACTTAGTAGTTCTATGCCCATCTGGGGCCAATATCTTGTGCAAATTTTCACAAACACAGTTCTGCCATCCCCACAAGCAATATGCTCAATGACAAGAGTCATCAAATTCAGGGATTCCACAAATCTGTGGATTCCCATCAAGTATTTACCAGTCCTTCAGAGTGGGTGGAATCTGATCAGTCTGGGGTCAATTTTACATAAACAGTTTTGCCTACTATCACAACTTATAGTCTACCTACATAGGTTTCCAGAGGTACAGATCTAGAAAGATTAGCCTATACAGAAAGTGAAAGAGTTTTCTTAATTTCCGTATCTATAAATTCCCACTCCTGTGTTTATGATTCTAGCAGAGAGTTGATTGCTTAGCTTATTTAGAGGCAGTCACTCCACTTGATTACTTAAGATATATTCATCCACTTGTCTAGTTATTCAACTAATTAAGTATTTAGCACTTACTCTATGATGGTCCTCATGCAAGATTCAGCTCTTTTTTTTTATATTGCTTTCAGGTAAAGCATCTTAATATCGAAATGACCGTACATGTATGACATGATAATGTGTAAAAATGATTGAAACACACTGCAACATGTTTATACATTTGGTCTTCAGTTCAAGCCTTTGCACTCTTAAAGGGTGGTGATCATGCTTTTCAACTTGTTCCTCATGTAGCATTGTGGTGCCTGATGCATAATTGGTGCTCAGTATGTGGGGTTTTTTTTTTTTTGAGAGAGAGAGAGAGAGAGAGAATTTTTTAATATTTATTTTTTAGTTTTCGGCAGACACAGCATCTTTGTTTGTATGTGGTGCTGAGGATCAAACCCGGGCTGCACGCATGCCAGGCGAGCGCGCTACCACTTGAGCCACATCCCCAGCCCACTTTTTTAAAAATATATTTATTTTTTAGTTTTTTTTTTTTTTTTTAGGTGGACACAATATCTTTATTTTTTACATTTACATGGTGCTGAGGCTCGAACCCAGGGCCTCACGCATGCTAGGCGAGTACTCTACCACTGAGCCACAACCCCAGCCCCCGTTTTTTTTTTTTTTTTTTTTTTTTTTTGAGAGTTTTCTTAGTGAATCTTAAGTAGCAGGACCATTCGATAAAAGTGATATTTACTTATTAACTACAATGACAGAATGTGATGGAGTTTCAGGGTCAAGTAAGTGGCCTGGCCTCCAGGATTCTTTCTAGAGGTGGCCATTCATGGCATGCCCAGTTGCCTATTTCCTGCAACTTTGCTATCCACATCCATAGATGACATAAAGACTGCCAGTATCRGCAATGTACATGGCCATTGAGATTAAATACTTTGGGTTCATCACAAACTTGGTACAGATATTTGCTTACCACTTATGTGGTTTAGAACCTAGGACAAGGCATTTGGCCTTTCTTCACCCTCGATTTTCTTTTGTAAATGAGAACAAATCTATCAGAGAGTTACCTAAAAGTTAAATGAGATAACCTGTAGACAGCATCTGCCACATGTCAGTGCTTAATGAGGGATAGCTGTATATCTAATGCATTTCTCTTGAACCTGGTAGTACTAAAATCAAAATGAATTAAAGTTTGATAGCACCTGAACAGATCACAAAAGATATCTAAACTCATTGTTTTCACAAAATGTGCATACATAGTGTTCACATCACTGCAAGAAGTCATTATACTGTTTCTGTCTTCCTTTTGTCTTTGGCAGACAGAAGGGTTTAAATATCCCAGGCCTTCCTCAGTACCACCTTCCCCAGCAGGGTCTCAGGCCTCCAGTCCTCAGAGCAGTGATGTGGAAGATGAAAATGAGGATGAGAGGTACGATGAGGAAGAGGAGGCGGAGAGGGATCGCTTAAATATCAAGTCACCGTTCTCTCTGAGCCATGCTCCTCGCGGGAAGAAAAAGCTGCATGGGGAATACAAGAACTGAATTGCACACTTGCCGAGCACAGCTAATGTAGTAAGAATATGGTAAGAATGATTATTTTAAAAGAATTAAAATGCTGCACTTCTTCGAAGTATTACAATGGAATTTATTCACTGCCTTAAAAGTTTAGGAGATTAAGTGAACAGCCATTTKGTAATTTAGAATGAAATCCAAGTTACCGCTCCCAACTCTTGTTTCTCCCTTAAATTTAGGCATGAGGAGGAGTATTAAAGGGACAAGACTGGACGTGTTTTTAAAATGGCTGATTTAAGCAATAAGAATTTTCTTTTAGCAGTGTTTATTTTTAAATTATCATTATTTTAATCCTTTGCTGTATAGTGTCTATACAGTTTCTATATCCTACCAAAAAAGTCTCCCATTTCCCTCCCAAAGGATCCCGATCTTAGCTACGAATGTGTACTACCTACATACTTTAAATAACTGTCTTTATTGATTATTTTTAATTTTTCACATGTATCAGAACCATTAATTTATATTTAGTTTTCCAGAAAATCATCAAAATCCATAAGAAAATAGCTATCCTAGATCAAGATCTTGATGCATATGAATGCATATTTTAACAACTCTTCTGAATTATAGAATTCATTTTCAAATTAATGACCAAAAGATGTTACCACCTGTAGTGTATCATCTTACTGTAACATTTTTTTTTTCTATTGTTAAATGGAAAGCTCTTTTGAAAATTTGGTTAATTTTCCACAGATGACAAATTGTTAAATCCAAATGAATAAATCCAGAAGTATTTAAAGATTTAACATTAATTCACAATATCTTGTTTTAAAATCTTTTTAAAATGTCACGTGGAAAATGGTTATGAATAGTGTCTAATAATAACATTTGAAACTATCTTTTTTAAAAAGAATTAGCAAAAAATAGATTACTTCATCAAGGACAGTGTTTCTAACATTCTGTGGTGTACTTAGAGATATTATTGGATAATAATAATTAAGCAGATTTATGTTTTAAATGTAGTTAAATCTAAATTGGCAAAGAACAAAACAAAGCACATTCATTCTTGGATTCCTTTCTTATAACTGAGTAGCCATTCACTGTGTGTTCCATCTAAGTGCTCAGTGAATATCTTGATTGACAAATCAGTTTGCCTTGGTCTATAGAAGTTCTAAAAAAAATTGTTGGTCTTCCACTGGGAAGACCATTACTGGATTGGTAATGATAACAGTGGAAGAGTCATAAAGACAGTATGTCTGATAGTTCAAGACTAATGGAAAACTGTAATACAACTATTTTCTAGCTGGGAAAAAGTAGAAGAATAAATGGACATATCAACATAAGCAAGCCAAAATGGAGGATAGTTGCAAAACTCATCTTTTTTAAAAAAGATTTGTGAAGAAAGAAAAAAAATTATCTAAAGCCTTATCCTTGAAAAATTCCCTGTGAGTGTCAGTTAACCTAGGGCCTGCAGAGTGATCTAAAAAATTCTGCACTGGACAGCAGGGAAAAAAATGATATGGATTTCTACTATATACTTATTTGCTGAATTACTAAAAAGATCTTATGCTTAAAAGGAGGGAGGGTTCACTGTTATGACAACCATAAAAATGCATCCCTAGTGAAGTCACACATTGTATATTCAAATGATATTCTTGATTGGTAATTGGATTGTCTACTATTATTTAAGCATGAATATACAGTAAAATACATCAAAAGAAAACTTTAAAATACAAGTCTTTTTAATTCTATGATTAGAAATGCATACAATATAATACACAGTAATTAACAAATGCCAACACCTGTTTTTGAATGGCACGTGTGGGAATCTTAATTTCTACCTGCACTTAGCCCCCTACTCAGAATCAGCCCCATCCTTCTGTAGTCATTTATTTATACTTTTCCCAAGATTGACAAAGTCTGTGAGGATAAACAAATGGGATTGATGGTTAGTAAATGACTGTGTCTAGTATAGTGCCTTGTGCACAGGAGTTGTATCAATAAATGGTTTTACTGAGAGAAATAGAGTTACAAAAATTTATGCTTTTTAAAATTAGAGGATTATAGTTATTCATAATAGTTGGGGTCATACATTCATATAATTTGATTTCAATCCCCATTCCCCACCCTTTTCCTCTCTTCCTTCCTTCCCATCTTTTCTTTCCTTTATTGGTTTTCCTTTCATTTGTTTATTTTTGATCAGTACTTTCTACATAAACATAAAGGTGAAATTCCCTGTGGTACATTTGTATATGCATATTGTGTGATTTTGTTAAATTCATTCCACCCCTCCCTTTATGGTCCTTCCTACCTCTCAATCCTCCACTGCACACTGATCTTCCCTAAATATTTATGATATGTGGATCCCACTTCCAATGCCTTCTTTCCTTTATTTTACTCTAGTTTCCACATATAAGAATTGACATTCAATCCTTGACATTCTGAGTCTGGCTGATGTCATTTAGCATGATGTTCTGTTTCCATCCATTTACAGGCAAATACCATAATTTTCTTCTTCTTTATGGCAAAGACTCCATTGTGTATGTATACCACATTTTCTTGATCTATTCATCTATAAATGGGCACCTGGGCTAATTCCATAATTTAGCTATGGTGAATTATGCTGCTATAAATGTTGATGTGGCTCAATTACTCTAGTAGGCTGATTTTAGTTCTTTGGCATAAATACTAAAGACTGGGAGAGATGGGTCATACAGTGATTTGATTCCTAGTTTTTTGAGGAATCTCTATAATGCTTTCCAGAGTGGTTGTCCTAATTTTTAGTCCCACCACCAATGTATCAGTGTTAACTGTTATGGTTTAGATGTTGTGTCCCTCAAAGGCTCACATGTGAGACAATACAAGAAGGTTTGGAGGAGAAATGATTGGCTTATAGCCTTAACCTAATCAGTGAATTGAGTGGTAACTGGAGGCAGGTGG